AAGCAGGGATTACTGACTGATAATTTCTGACGTTCCAAAAAAGATAGCCAGGAACAGATAAGTAGGAAAACCATGTTTTCTTCCTAGGAGTTCTGCTATGGGATGGATTGTAAGATATTCCCAAGACATTTAGTTTGTTGGGAACTTGCACCATCTGTTAGAGAAAGGCATGCAGGGTATTTATTTGAACACATGATGTTGAGGCTGCTGCCAGATCAAGAACTACATGCCCTTTGGCTCACATCTATATGGACACTCTCAAATGTAGATAGGTTCTAGTAGAAGTACTTTATCAAATTTTGAGTAGCAGGAGTTTAATCTTCGTATTAACTTTAAAAAACAAACACCTTTTTCTTAAAGTATAGCTTTAAATTTTTTTTTCATTTTCTCTGGAAATAATTTTTATGGAAATTTCTAGTATAGTAGTTTTTTCTTTTTTCTAGAGTCTGAAATTCTGTAGTGTTAGGCAGGTAAGTAACTGCCTCTGATTTCCTGAGCACCTTCTTTTTTTTTTTTCTGATATACTCTTGCTGGATTAAAAACTTACTGTTTTTCAAATTTCTCACTTTCATTTTTCAGGTAAAATAATGCAATATTCTCAGCCTTTATGATTTTTTTGAAAGAGCTTGTGAGCTTGCATACGGTTATTTAGTAAGTTGTAGTTTTAAAAATAGCATTAGTCTTTGTGACATATTTCTGATACAGGTTAAGATATATATTTTTAAATTATTATAATTATTTTAATATATTTTTTAAAATTTTTATTTATTTTTTTTATTAGTGAAACACCATGAGGTACAGTTATAGACTTATAAATTTTTGTGCTTGGGTTTCAGTTATACAATGGTCAAGTGCCCATCCCTCTACCAGTGTCCATCCTCCACCACCACAGGTCCTAGCATCCCCCCCCACCCCCCATCCCCCCCATCCCAGGTTAAGATATTTTAATGAAAGTAAACACGGATCTATTTTTTTTTTTAAAAAACTTTAAAATTCTTACTGGCCAGTAAACTCTCCTTTTCTGCCTTAGGTTTAGAGATAGGAATCCTACATAGTCCCAAGGTTAAATAAACTTTGAGTTGCACAGGGATTATGCTCCTGTTTCATCAGTTACTTCTCATCCTATCTCCACCTCAGCTCCTTTACCCAAGAGAAGAAAGTATCAAGAGGGGCCAAAGCATGCTTCCTGAAAGTGATGATCAAATAGTTTTGATAAAATTGTGATAAAATTTATAAAATCTTATAAAATTGTTCACAATAATTTATTACAATTTAATATTCCAACACCAACCTCATAAAATTTATAAAATCTTATAAAATTGTTCACAATAATTTATTACAATTTAATATTCCAACACCAACCTCACCACCATTATACCATCCCACCATCATATTTTGGATACTGACCTTCAAAGCCTGCTCCCAAAGTAGGACCTAAATAACTTAGTCGTATTACTTGTTTTGTATAACCTGCTAAAAATGATCCAAAATATTTCCTTAGAGGAAATCATGTGAAGATTGTTGTATTTCACCCTGGAGCCATTAAACCCTTGTCTTGGTACATCAAAGGTGTAGAGTATGAGATGTCGCATTTGTGGCTGCATACTCCAGGAATTCTAAAATTTTAAATATAGTGATACAGCTGAGGTTAATTTCATTTCTTTTCTTTTCTTTCTTTTTTTTTTTTAAACTGGATAATGACTTTGGGGTCCAGAGGCATGAGATCTATTTTTGATGTTGTTATCAACGAGAGTATTTTCATCAATAAGCTACTTCTATTGATCCTAACTAAAGATATATATTCATTCTGTAGGGCAGTAAGAAAACTTTCCTCTAGCCTACTATACATTTGGTATTTTTTGTTATTTATCATATACAATGTGAACTATTTGATCGTCACTTTGAGGAATCATACTTTATCCCTACTTGTCACTTTCTCCTCTTGGGTAAAGGAGCTGAAGTGGAGATAGGAGGAGAAGTAACTAATGAAACTGGAGCATAATTCCTGTGCAACTCAAAGTTTACTTAACCTTGGGACTGTGTAGGATTCCTATCTCTAAACCTAAGGCAGAAAGGGAGAGTTTACTAGCCAGTAATGTGTGAGAGAAGAAGGGAGGATGCTGTGAATTTTTAATTGCACAGCTCTGGCGCCTCTTAAAGTCAATACCGTCCTCACTCAAGGAACATTCTGTTATACTCTGCAGAAGCTTATCCACAGTTACTGGTAGCCAGGTGGGTACCATGGTATAAAATAATACCCGAGTATAAAACAATACCCGAGGGATTGCATGGGTTGGGAATGGGAACGGAGTGTCTGCAGGTGGGTATGAGGGACCTGTTTGGTTTGTTGGAAATGCTCTAAAATTAGATTATTGTGATACTTGTATATCTCTATAAATACCTTAAAAGTAATCGAATTGAACCCTTCAAGGAAGAGCTTCTATGACATGTTAGTCAACCTCAGTAAAGTTCATAAAGTGCCTGAAATTTGGGTACCTTGAAAGGAGTTGCGTTTCCGCTCAGTCCCTGAATTCTGTTGTGTAGCATCATCTGAGAAGTGTTCCCACTTGTGTGAAAGAGTGTGACAAAGTGATGGGGGAGATTCTGAGGCAGGAACTGGAGAGTTCTGAATTGCTCAGCTCAGTACCGTGACTGAGGCGATGAAAACCTGAATCATGTTCATAAGGCAGGGACACTTGTGATCATGATGTTAATAATATGACACTTTTTTTTTGTGGTGATGACAAATTCAGTTAGGCCCATTAAGGCATAGAACATTCTCCAGGGGTTTTAAAAGTTACTCTTTCATTTGGTTGATAGCAACATGTTATAACTAGAAATATTACTTATAGTCCTATTAGTTCAGAGAAACTGTCTTTTAAAATGATTTGGCAAATGTACTTTGTGGATTTGGGTAAATATATTCAAAATTAGTTTTTTCCTTGTTTTTGGCTTTGGGGGCATACCTGGTGATGCTTGTCCTGGCTCTGTGCCTAAGGAATTGAATTGGCAGCATACAACACAAGCACCTTAATCCTTGTATTGTCTCTCCAGTCCTAAAAATACTTTCCATATAATTTCAGTTAAAATAATGTAGTCAAATTGCAGTTTTTTTGCTTAGCTGTCATTTTTTAATAAAATGTAGAAAATATTTAATATGACAGTTTAAAAGTTTTTTTCCAGTTCTTTTTTAAAAAATGATTTACTAATTCCTGAATAAAGGCAATCATGCTCTCAGTGTTTGACTTTCTAAAGAAATTGGTTGGCTTTGCTTACATTTATTGTGTGACTTGAGATAAAGTTACAGGACTCCCTCAGTAACTGGAGGAAACAATTGACACTGTTACTTAATTCACATTGTTTCTGAGACATTTCCTACTTCCTTGTATAATACAGCTTTCCCATGAGAACAATTTGCTTGCAAATGGTTAGACATGATAAATTTCTTATTTGCACACATTTTCTAAGAAGAATTTCACTGTGCTGTGGAGTAGAGTTGATGTATATGTTTGTGTGTATGTGTGTGTGTCTGTGTGATGTGTGAATGTGTGTGTGGGGTGTGTGTGTGTGTGTGTGTGTGTGTGTGTATCAATGGGGGAACCTTCATGCTTTTACCTAGATAACTCTCGTGTCATTTCTAGTGTCAGAAGGTTCTCGTTCCTGAGATGTACCCCTTTCTTGAAGAGCATGTCATTATAATAATACTCCAATTTTAAGGAATATTGTGTGAATTATGGCATTTTTAGATATTCCTGGAGAGTTACTATGAAGATACTTCATAGCAATTTATATTATGCATTTCGTGCACATGTATTGTGTGTAGGTATGTGGTAGCGACTGTGACATCAAGTGATCACCAAGGAATAATTCCAGAGTAGGAAGGAAAACTCATCGATGAGACAAGACAGCCTAATCTGATTTGGACTTAAATTTTTTTTTTTCGCATTACTTCTGAAATGATAGTTCTTACTTTCAGAAGTTATTCTGTGCATAAAGTGAAAGTAAAAGTTTCCCAATTAAGGAAAAAAAAAAGATGTGGAACTTTGAGTTCCCTTTCCCTGTCTTATCAGATTTTGCAAAAATAATACCACTTGTCAGTTTTGCAGCTCGTTCCATCTAGAGAACTAAAAGCATTTCACAATCTTTTTTTCCTCATGCCCTTCTCTTCAAGGCAATTTTTGCGGGGCTGGGTTTATTTTTATCATTGCAACAACCAGTTTTTAGAAACTTTTGGAAACGAAAAAAGAAAAATGAGAATGGCACTGGAGCTGACATTCATTTTAGCTGTTTCCTAGTGTGAACATTTGAGTATTTCTAAAATATTCTCTCCAAATATGTCTTATTTTTTCTCAGTTTGTCCCAGTTCTACATCTCTATTCTGCTGATTGGGTGAAAAAAAAAAGTTTTAATGTAAAATCTTCTCTGCAGAGTGACTTTTTGAACTTTGAATTAAATCTTTATTTTTTTTGTCTTTATTTGTTGTGAGGGCTCTTTTCCCAGCAGCCTATTCATAAGTATTTACTCTAGCACCAGTATAATCATAGACATATAGATGGTGATAACGGCAGGGCCTCTAGTGATTACCCAACTCAAGCCTCTCATTATATAAATGTTCTGCTTACTCAGAGTTCTCATGGGGCAGACTCAAGATCCTTGAGCTAATTGATGGCAAAGGAATAGCTAGAACCAAGGAATTCTGATTTCTAGCTCAATATTCATTGCTTTTCTGAAGCAAAAGTAGTCAAACTGGGTAGAACAATAGCAAACTTTCCCAGAGTCCCAGTGGCTCCAAACTCTGGTCTGCAGTGTGATTGAATGTGGCTCTTTCAGTCTAACTCAGAATTTGGATATTTTGTTTTTCCAGTGTGAGTTTATTTGGTAAATGTTGAATGGTAGTATTGAATTCATAGGCAGCTTTATCTGACCTGTGATCTTGTGCAATTTATATGCAGCAGAGAAAGTGATTGGAAATGACTAATGATCTCTGTGTGTTCTTTTAGGCCACCACACCATCTATATTGGGGTTCACGTGCCGAAGAGCTACAGGAGAAGGAGACGACACAAGAGGAAGACAGGGCACAAAGAAAAGAAGGAAAAGGAGAGAGCCTCGGAGAACTACTCTGATAAGTCGGATGTGGAAAACGCAGATGAATCTAGCAGTAGCATCTTAAAACCTCTCAGTGAGTACTTTTGGAATCTCTCTCTCTGCCTTATAGCCTGAAACTTTTTTTTTTTTAATATATCATATGTCTACTGAGGGAGAAAGGCAGTGATCCTGGAATGTCTTGGAAGGGCTATCTATGAAGATATTTTTCTTGTTTCTTGTATCTTTGAAGATACGGTTTTTGTCGAACCTACAAAAAAGAGTAAGGTTCTGTTGAAACAACAGATTTGTCTAGGAGGTGATCTGTTAAGAGTTGACAGTTAAATTGGTCATGTGGTCTACTTTTTGACTAGAGAAATAAAAGTTATATATAGCATTAAGTCAAGGTAATCACTAGTAAATCACTAGGAATGGAATGATTCTTTTAAATAAATGTTTATTTCTGGAGCTGTTCTGGTAGTACGGTGGTTTAGGTGCTTGCCTTGCACACAGCCAGTTGGATCTACAAATATTGAGCATTGCCAGGAGTGATCTGTGAGCACAGAGCCAAGAGTAAGTCCTAAGCACAGTTGAGTGCTACCTCCAAACTGACAAAACAAATAGAATAAAAAACAACAAACAGCGCATTGCTTGTTTCTGCATAGAACTAGATTCTTCTGGATCCAGAGGGATAGTACAGCAGGTAGGGATGTTTGCTTTGCAGATGGCTGCTCCAGCTTTGACCACGACACCTCATATAATCCCCCATGCCTGCCAGGAGCTTGGTCCCTGAGCTGAGTCTGGAGTCAACCATAGCATAGCCTTTGGTGTGCGACCTCCCCTACACCCCCGCCCCAGAAAAACAAAACAAAACAAAACAAATGGTTTCTATTGAGACAGTAGTTAGAGGTGAAATTTTTGTGTACCTGTAGAATGAATTGTAGGTGACGTTTAAACTGGTTGTGGATATTAAGAACAGACGCCAAACAGGAGAGCCAAAAAATACCTTCTGGTTCGAGTGACACCATGGGCTGTTTAGTTGTACCTGTATGTTGCTTTTGTGTCTTTTTGTTGTGGAAATGTTAGCATATGTGGGCAGTTTTGTGGCTGAAGTAAGAATGAATATCTGTTGTAGAATGAAGCAGTACAAACACATGCTAATTTTAGGAGATCCCCTAGCAATAATTACGTAGTGTCATCTTTTTTTTTTCTTTCTTTCTTTCTTTCTTTCTTTCTTTCTTTCTTTCTTTCTTTCTTTCTTTCTTTCTCTCTCTCTCTCTCTCTCTCTTTCTTTCTTTCTTTCTTTCTTTCTTTCTTTCTTTCTTTCTTTCTTTCTTTCTTTCTTTTCCGCTTCTGGCCAGAACACCAAATTAAGATAAAAGTTTTGAGGAGAGTTTGGAGCTGGACCACTAAATTAAAATTTGAAGGCATTGGAGTAAATGTAAAAGAGAACCAGAGGGTAGGAGACTAGAAATATATTTTCAATGGAAATGATGGGGGTGAAAGGAATCCTTCATGTAGTGATTAAATTAATGGGGACTGTTTCAGGCAGAATCCTTGAAATGCAGACAAAAAAGGTTGTAGTTAATAGTCTGGAAGAACAAAAGATAACACTCCTTCCCAAATAAATTACTACTGTTTATCTTGATTTTCTGTCTATTTTGGCACTGCCTGAACCAAAGCCAGAAATTCTTGTGTGTGTGTGTGTGTGTGTGTGTGTGTGTGCATGCGTGCGCACGTGCACACACACACACATACACATGCACTTACTGTGTGCTGTGTGATCACTCTTTCTCTTCACACATTGCAAATCATTTCTCATTTTGTAACTTAAGAACCAGAGTGCATCCCATTATTATAAAAACTAAAAAACAGAGAGATGCTCACCTAGAGAAATGGGCCAATTTAAAAAATAATAATAATAGGTTTTATGATTATCCAGGTCTTTACTTTTTTAAATTGAATTCCTGTGAGATAGAGCATTACAAAATTGTTCATGATTGCCTTTCAATCATACAATAATCCAACACCCATCCCTTCGCCAGTGTAATTTCCCAGCACCCCTGTCCTCAATTTCCCTTCCACCCCTTCAAGCCATCCCCCACCTCATCCTACCTCTGGCAGGTGCCTCTTTTTTCTCTTTTTCTCTTTCTCTCTGTCATTTTAGGCATACTGGTTTGCGATACAGATGCTGAAAGGTTATCATGTGTATTCCTTTACCTACTTTCTACACCCAGTTCTTGTTCAGAGGAAAAATTTCGAACTAGTATTGTCATAGTTGACCCTCCTCTATCTTAACTACCCTCCATCTCCCATATACTAATGCTAGCAATGCTAAAGAGATTATACTCTGGTCAGAAAGGTACTGACATTGTGTGATGACCATGAAAGGGCTGTTGCTTCCTGTGGCTTTGGAGGACTGGCTGGAGTGTAGAATATAAGAGCAAAGAAGCAATCCATTCTCAGGGGTCCCAGTCTCTCCTCCCTGGGAAGTGCGGCCCTGAATATTATATATTCAGTTTCTCACGGAATTCAGTGGAGAGTTTTGTTCCATAATCATAAGGTAATTACTTATACATTTGTATTTTAGAGTTAATTTTCCTGGTCGTCTGTAAGTTGTGCTTTAATATCTACCTTTTACATATTTAATATGAGTCATCCAATTCAACATGAAGGTTCTCTGTAAAATCTATGCACGCTGAAGGTTATGTGTTCATGGGCTCTCTGGATGGCTCTGTCTCACCGCCTGCGTTCAGTGCTCTTGAGCCGCTGTGTGTGGCGTGGATCAGGATGGCTGTTGGCCAAGGGCAGAATAAGGAAGAAATGAGCGCCAGGATGGTCAATATCAATTTTAGTTTATTCCGATCTTCACTCCCTTCTGCTTCTCTCTCTCAAGCCTGAGCCCCTCTCACTTCTGACTCTGCCCCCTGGAACCCGAGCCCCCTCCGAGCTTACAGTCTTAGTTTATATAGCAATCATGTAGGGTGGTGACACAAAGGTGGGTTGAACATTAACAAATCAACAAAGAAAGGTAAGACCACTCCTCCAGGTGATTAACTCAAGGATAAAATCTCATCTATAGAGATTACTCCAGATTACTAGGAGATTCGCTCAAGGGTGTGATCCAAACAAGGGTATGTTCTTTCCTCAGCCAGTAATCTACTTAAATAGTTGTGGTAAATCTACCCCAATATTTCTAGCAATGTCATTCTGTATGAGCACAGTAAGAGATATAAACTTACAGTTTGGTTCTTCCTAAGGACATCTCACTATATATCCTGCAATCCTTCAGGCCAGGTTAGTCTTCCTAGCCCCAGCAGGGTCCTAGTTTTGTCGTTACTTACTTTTGGATCATGACAGCATTTGTCCATGATCATGCCCTCAACTTATAGTTGAGTATCGTGGCACTTTGGCCTGGCCCAGTTTGATGCCAGGGTAGTTCACAGCTTGCCCTGGGTCCATTCAGTCCTTCGTTGGGACCCTGCTTTTGGGGTGCTAGGAACTAAGGGAAACTGAGTCAAGAAAGCAGGTGCCCAGAAGTAAATATTATTTGGAGTCAACTAACTCCCAAGTTACAAAGCATAATGTTAACTGTCTTCCTGTGTCCATTCAGAAAGGACATTGCTTTAAAGTAAACTATTCAAAAGTCATAAAAAGAGGAGAAAGGCAATATTAACTTATAATACAAGTTCAGTGCCCTGAAAAGATCTGACCTTACAAATTAACAGAAACTGATTAGGGGAATAAGCTGATTAACTATTTGGGAAGGGAGCATAGACAAGTACTTACAAATAAACAAAAGAATGGGAGTGACTCGGGAGCACTGGGATGGGTGTGACCCAATAAACCCAAGCTATCTGGGGAAGGACAAAACAGTGTTATCCTCTTAGAAATGATCACATTTACTGCTTACTGTGGAAAGTATATTGGTAACTAGCCTGCCTGATGCAGTTCTACTTTAAAAATCAAAATTGTTGCGCCAAGGTAGAGAAAGATATTTAATAATATTTTAGGGACTGAACCCAGGGCTTTTCAAGTATTATCATGAAATTCTGATGGGAGCCCACACCTGGGTAAATATCTGCTTGCTACACCATTACTATCTTTTAAAGACAATCACACACACAGTTTCTGTGATTCTTGAATCCTGGATATTTGTGTAACTTATAGTACCATCGACCAGATTACTACATGAGATTCATAGTACATCAGGTGATACAACTTTTGGAAAAATTCATGAACACGTTCACGACCATCCTGTTATTTTTCGATTGCTTGAGCAGATCCCAGTAATGTCTCCTTTGTCCTAGCCCTGAGATTTTAAAAAAAGTGCCATATTCAAGGCTCTTTCAGAGTTAGGAGAATGAGACCCATCATTGTTACTGGTATTTGGCATACTGGGTACGCCATGGGGAGTTTGCCAGACTCTGCCATGTAGGCAGGTTACATTTGGTAGCCTGCCAGTTTGTCCAAAGATGTTGCGCGGCCGCAAATGCGGCCATGCTCTTCCAGGAGCTGGGTTTTATAGTCTCTGGGTCTTGGCCGTTGATGGGATTACACAGCGCCAGGGGGCCAGTTTGTGGGTGTGACCCCCGCCTACTGGAATTTGGAGGATCTGGGTGGAGGATGCTCAGCCCCAATCCTAGTAGGCTTGGCGATCTCAGTCCCGGGACCCGCATGCCTTTGTTCCTCTGCCGGTACCTTCATGTGTGCGGAGAGTGGTCTCAGCATGGTGGTGGCTGGTTCTGGAAAAATTACACATTTAAATGGAGTAACTCAATGGAATTCTATTATTGCTGTCACCCCCATATGCTTTGATGACTTCTGGCTCTACTTTCAAATTATGTATGAACCTGCCTATTCCTTTTTGAATTTTATTTGGGGTGGGGGAGCATATCCAGCAGTGCTCAATGGTCACACCTGGATCTGTGCTTACGCATCACTCCCAGTGTGGCTTGGAGGACCACAAAGGATGCTGGGAATCAAACTCATGTCATTGCATGCAAGGCAAGCGTCCTGTCTACTGTACTATCTCTCTGGCCCCTATTCCCTGACAGTTTTTACTTTCACATTTTCGTTCAGTTTTAAGACAACTGC